TATTCGAAATGAAGTTCCCTCTAACAATGTTATCTCAGGAGATTCATCGAAACCAAGTTTCTTTTCGTATCTACAATTATTATTGCTTAATCTCACCCGCAACATGCTATTACTTTCCCACCAGTTAAGTGTAAGTAGAAAATCACCTAAACTATTCATGCAATGCTGCTGTCATTGTATTTCCTGACCTTCAAAGATAAACTATGGATGGACGTCTTTTGTGTTTTAAAAAATTATGTCTTCATACGATGCTTGTGCTCATCCACACAATACTCAGGTGATGCCTTCAACATCAATTAACATTGTCGAGCCTATCTTTATTTCGAGGGAAAGTGCTTGGTGAAGAGATTCGAGAAGACGACAGCAGATTTTTCTTAACCAGCTGTCGATTGGCTTTACTGGAACATTCTTGTTGGCATTGTCTACAAGGCAATCGTTTTGGATTCCGGTGGTATAAAGGACATCTTCACAGCAGGGTATCATTCCTACAACCATTTTCAAGCTAACGAGTCACGAAAACCCACAGACTCATCCTGAAGACACATGAAGGCACACAAATACACGAACACATACAGACACATGCACACAGATGCTTCGAGGTTAACATATGGGTTTAACCACGAAATCACCTTATACCTCATCGAATAGCTCAGAGTTAGGGTGTATCTACAACATTTAAGGATGAACTGGCGAGTTTTGTTGAATCATTAGTTTGAATATGGTTGCAAGGATGACACCTTCCCTGCTCTGATGATGTCCGCCATACGACGGACGGAAGCAGCCCCAACAAGAATATCTCCGTAAAGCCAATCGACAGCTGGTCAAGAGAAATGCACCGTCGTCTTCTGGTGGGATCGAGCTTCGAATCTCTTCACCCAACACTTTCACTCGAAATGGAAGTAAGCTCAGCAGTTATGAGACAAGTGATGCCTCGAAACCCAACTTTTCATAGCATATCAATTACTCACCATACAAGTAGTAACACTGACCATTTTGGTGCTTACAGAAGTGCAGTATCGGGGCATTGGGAGAGCTAAAAATTACATTCTCAGCAGAAGTGTTGTGTTTTATTGATTATCGTAGTTACTGTTTATTGTCTACTTTTAAGCATCACAACCAACATCCACACCAGACAGAATCACAATAGCGGAAGCATACACAGTCAAATGCAGACACCTACCTACACCGCCAGCACACATAAACACACAGTAGACACATTTTTACATAAAAGTCTCCCACAATTTTTGCTTCTTTTCACATGAGGCCTGACTGTTATTTCAAGACCGACTGTTCTCCATTCAGGCATTTGGCATAATTTTCAAGACTATTATTATCCGGTCAAGACCTGGCGGCTTGTGTCGTTTGAGTAGGGCGGCATTTTTGTGTGAATTCAACCAGGTTCACAAAACATAGTCCCCTCGAGAGGTCGTGGTGAATTAGCATTTGCCAAGTGTGTCCAGAATGCGGAGTGGTGTGAAGGTGAGTGTGGAGTCGTCGCGACCAGCAAATCTGCACACCTTCGTCCATTCGCGATGACAACCGGTCGGTCGATCAATCGGTCGTTCGACGGCTATCCTGTAGCGTCGGTGCAGCCGTTGCTGAGGCACACTTTTTACTTCATCCCTCCTCCCTCCTCTCTCCGAAGGATGACCGTGTCTGTGAGTGTACTTTCTGCTCTTTAAATCGTACAAATATCTCTCCATTCGCCTGCACCCACATGCAGCCCACATGCGTATAGACATGCAAACAGACAGATAGACTTGCATACAGATCTGTATGCAAGTCGGCATTCACAGACTCATTCGCCAATCCACCCGTCCTCACGTTCACCTACTCGGCATGTTTGACTTCCATTTGGTGGCACCGACTTTCAGACATGTCGGCGCTTAGAGTCAATCTGCCCAGAAC